AAAATAAAATGTAATGCAAAGTGGCCATCTAGTGTGTGGCCTTCATTTCTTGCGATATCAGGGCACAAGTACAAACATTTACATATTTGTTTTTAGTGTATCGCAAGAATTCCAAAAGCTGTTGACGTTCCAAAGACAACTAATTAACACATGCTTACTTTTCTTTGCAACGGGAGAAAATCTAATTTGCAGTCCAATACCTGATACCTTTGCTCTGAAAGCAAAGAGCAAAACATGGGAAGCTTTCATGGCAGTTGTGCTTTTGTTGAAGTTTCAGATATACTCAGCCACAGCATACTGAGGAGGGGATGTGGCAATGCTCTCAGTTTATGAGTAATTCCACATTCAGGCCTTGTTCACACCAAGCACGGAGCAGGTGCAGAGCAGAGCAGTTGCAGACCGGATCAAAAGTGCGTCCAATGTATTCCAAATTGTATTTTTTGCTCCAGTTCACATCGCAGCGTGCAGTTCCAGAGCAGGTGAAAAAACTGCAGCAGGCCCTATTTTACCTGCTCTGGATCTGCAAACGCATCAAAAACGCATGCAAATGCCTGGAACGCACAGAAAGCCCATGTTAAACGAGAAACATTTTTTTAAAAATGTAGGCAAAAACGCGTCAAGAACGCATCAAAAAGACTAGCGAGCGTGTTCAGAAACCTGACCGGATCTGCTCTGCATTTGGTGTGAACAAGGCCTCACTCCAGATAAACTCCAGCCAAGCAGCTATTTTGTTGCAATACATACATTGAAACATTTTACTTGTACGCCTGCAAAATATATCCATATCCTCATCTTTCACTGCACTAGCAACAAAGTTGGTTGACCAATGATAAGGTATTGCTCTGCTCTCGTCTCCTGTCAGCATGTTCACTGAAGCAGAGCCTAGTGTTGGCAATCCCTGCATGAGTGCTGTTGTACAGGGAAATAAAGGAGGCAGATTTCAACAACAATTCCTGTACTAGTGGTAAATTGATTGAAAGCAACCCTATCAGGCGGTGGGAAATGTTCCAACAACAATGCCCTGTAAAAGAAGTAGGTTTATGTCAACATCTCTGGCAGATCGTAAGAAGAATCTTCGCTCTCTTGAAGAGATCCGGGTGCTGGTAATATTTGACATGTCCGGGGGTGTCAGATAGTGTGCCCCTGCACTGACCTTTGTGGTTCCTCCCGCTGACTTCTATACCATTACAAGACACAGTAGTGATGCAGGGGTTGGGAAGAGAAACCACAGTAGCTAGTGGGAACATGCTAGCCAACACATTTGGTAGCAGCACCTGACACAACCCTAGAGAGTGGAGATTCAACATACCTGCCGACCAGACAGGTAAAAAAAAAACACCTGCTTTTACAGGGTATTGTTGTTGGACCATTACCCACCCCCTGACAGAGTCACTTTAAAAAAGGCACGTAAATCATTTTTAATAAACATATCTTTTTTGTATGCATTTTGTATTAATCTGCTGGTGTTCACCTTTAACCCCTTCGTGACGGGAGACGTACAGTGTACGTCCCGTCACAAGACTAAACAGTGTTGTCAAAATGGCAATAGCAGTCAAGTTGTAGATGTGCTAATAAGTGCATGAGAAAGTTTGTGAACCCCAAGGATTAAATGGCACCTAAACTACAGTATAGGTACAGTATAACTACAGTAGTAGGACTGTATATATATTCATTTTACAAATAAACATTTAACGTGTGTGCTGCAGTAAAGTGGAGGTCAGAAGGAGAAAAAAGTGAGAGCTGAGGTGGACTAGGGACTCTCCCATAAATGCAATTTTCCCTGAGGACTTCAACAGCAGATTTGGAGCAGCATTCAGCATCACGGGCAGCAGGAAAAGGGAGTACTCACTCTTATTTTATAGATATGGCTTTATATCAAACGTTTACTATAGCAACAGGGTTGCTTAGATTATCACAACCACCTGTAAGCCATGGCTTACCTTTTCATCTGCATGTAGTGTTCATTGGCTGCTGGCCTGCATTCAGCACGCTGCACCACTATGCCTTCAATAGCAAGTTTATCTACGAGGGAAGAAAAAAGTAGGTCAACAGCATGGCTAAAAAGGTAAACAGAGCAAAGCAAACAAGGTAAAGATCAAAAGGTAGGCCAAAAGTTCAACAGAATTAATTTGCAAAACCTATTGTTTCTTCACAATATTTTAAAATCCCAAATTGGAACTGCTTCAAAAACACACCCGGAAAGCTTCCCAGGTCCTAGAAATATCCACGCTCTTTTACATTAAAACCAAACATACTCAGAAGTAAAGCAATGTACCAAGTTAAATTGTATTGGAGTAGTTTGTACAATGCAATACACAAACTGCATTGGAAACATGGTAATTCTAGTGTAAAGTTTTTAGCTCAGTTAATATTTTCTTTCTACTGACAAAGGCAGCACTAAGGGTAATGGTGGCCCTGCACATGACAGTTTTTAGGCAATTTTAATCACTTAAATTTTCAATCAAAACGGGATTAAACTGATCAAGGAAATACGTGAACATTTTTTGGTGTTTATCATGTTAATAGAAACAGTTGGTTGCATGTTGCCTTGATCATTAGAAACCTGAATGCCTGATCCAGTAAATGTGAATATTTTGTGCAGAATGAATCAGCTATAAATTCTAAAGCTGACCATTCACAAGCAGATAGCCCAAAAAAATGTATGTTTGGTCATAAAAATGTGTACATCCCAATGGAAATTATTTGGTAGCTTCACACTCCTCCTGAACGTCCTGATATTGCAAGACATAACAAATTCAGATGACAGCCAAATATTAGGCCAGAGGCAGGTACTGCGTGGCAGAACTTTCCACAGCACCCGCCTAATAACCATGTGAACAAGCACAACGGAAAGTCAATGGCTACCCACAAAATAAACATCCGGCATAGCTAACTAGATTGTTCTTGAAGGCTAGGTTCACACCTGGACTGCACGACACCCGTCCTGGGGTCGCGCTGTCCTCTACAATGCAGGCAGCAATTGCCGTGTGGCCCCATTGATTTCAATAGGGTGACATCTGAGCGGCAATCACAGAAAAAAGGTACAAGTAACTTTTTTTTGCGATACGCGACCCACGGCTGTTTTAGGCGCGATCATGTGCGGAAGCACAGCAGGAAACCGCGCAATCCGCCCTGCGCGACTGGGGTGCTATTAGAAAATAATGGCACCCACAGCGCGATCGGTTCACACCTTGGCGACTCCTGACTGCGCAGCAATCCATGCGGAATCGTGCACGATTGCTGCGCGGTGACGCCTAGGTGTGAACCTAGCCTAAAGAGCGCCAGTACATATGAAGCTAACTGTATGTAGGCACCATCCAGTGACTGTAAAAGCAGTTACAAACTTCAGCGTACCTCCTGTACTGGTTTGGGAGCCCTAAATGGTACCATGCATTTTTTTTTTTGCTGAAAGTAGAAACTTGACACATAAGAACCCTCCCTTCATATCCGCGACGCTAATTAGTTGACAGCTACCTGCATTGCGGAATGCAACATTTGCAGAAAACCCAGAAGCAGCTACATTGTTAATGATAATTTAAAGCAGTCAGGTAAGCCAGTTACTAGACAGTCAAGCAAATGTGGAAATTATCAATGCGCATTTCAACCAAGACATAATGAAAACCAAAATAATAAGGTCACTGCCAGTGTGACTGTTGGCAAAATGTGATAAGAATATAATAACTTTTGGAACATGTTATTATCTGTTCAGCTGTACCACATTCAGACCGAGCAACCTCAACCCAATTGTTAACCAACATGCAGTGCCAAATAGGACATATATTGTTGCTCAGATGTGCAGCCCAGTAATTCCCAACCGGCGGGCAACAGTTTCCTGTCTGTTACAACAGCTACTGCTCAGCTAATCTCTTGGGACACTGAGCAGGAAAAAAGAACACTAGTAGGGCAAAACAAAAAGAAGCGGAAAAACTAACCTGCTGGGCATGAAGCTGGGGTGATATGCTAAATGCCCCAGCAATTGTTTCTGTTCCTTTAGTACTCTGTACTGTTTTAATGCTTAGTTCACAGAAGGGTCAAGTAACATGACAAAGTAAAAAAAGGCAACAACACAAGTGTTTGGAGGCACACAAACCCAGGAACCTCTATTGAACCACTGGGGCTCCACTGGCACCTCCAAACTGACAGCAGAGCTGGCCTGCGAGGCTATGTGAGATGAGGTGCAAGAATGACAGGCCAGTGATGTTAGTATGTTAACTTTGTACACAGCAAGGTACAGAGATAAAGGTTGGACACCTGGAGCACAGTAACATGTGTAGAGCAGTGGAGATGTGCAATATTGTGCACTTTCTCTGTGAATGTAAGCACATATGTAGTTTGCAGAGGATGAAGAAATCATGCACCTATTGCTAAGTATCCCTAGTGCGGGTCACCCAACATCTGGCACCCACTGACTTGGGCACATTTTATTACCAGTATCCAGTAACTGTGCCTATGATTTCTATGCTTTCCTTCATATCTTTAGTTAGGTAGAAACTGTGATATCCGTTTGGAATGCAACTATATACCATTTTTTTAAATTTAGTGTTGGATAGAGTAGAGAAGGATTAACCCCCCTGCCAGATTATATATCTTTGCTTCCTATGTACTATTGGGGGGAATTTCCCTTCACTTTCTGTTCTGGAGACACGAGATGTTAGAAGAAAACTCACAAAGTGAGCAGAGTTCTCTTCTTAGACAGTTGTCGCTGAAACAGGTGTCCCCATTGGAAGATTTCCCCTTACTTCTTCTGAGACAGCTCTTTTTCTTTTTTACTGTTGGAAGAATTTACTATGCCTTGGTGTTACCAAGTTTGAGAACCACTGGTCTAGACCATCAGCAGAGTCAAAATATTTACATCCGCAAGTCTGAAAAAATAAAAACACGTCCCCAGCTAGGTACATACTTTAGTAAGATTACTCTGAAGGGTAAAAGATTGACATGGAACATTTAAAAGGCGTTATTACAGGGATTGGACGCTGTAAGCATATCAGAAAATAGCAGGTGTCTAACTTGAATATGCAGACCTGTAAAAGAGATCTTTGGTGGTAAATCACAGCAGAGCCTTTAGAGAATTTTGAACACTTGAAAATAATATTTTTAAATTATGCTCAAAGCAGAATTTCATAAATGTAATATATTATGTTTGACGAGGCCAGGAATACATAATTCAAAATGTAGATATAGTTGATTTACTAGAGAACAGCAATAATTTATGGTAGATCTGCAATGACTTCTGTGGAAAAGTTCTCAAATTATAGGATTAGCCAGTACTGTAACCTTACTGACAGAGGAAATAGATTAGAAATAATGAAATCAGAGAAAGACAATTGCATTATAGGACCGCAAAAACAACTTGCATGGCTCTGTAAAAGTGTTTAATGTCTACCCTTTTTTGTCTTAAAAGAGAGAGTAATGTGTGTTAACCCTTTCAATGGCAGACTTAAAAAAAACACATTACATTTTTACAAATTCACTAAGGAAAGCAAAACTAATACACACACACACACACACACTATATATATACAGGCCAGTGATGTTAGTATGTTTGGCTGGTTTTCCTCCTTGACTTTGTACACAGCAAGGTACAGAGATAAAGGTTGGACACCTGGAGCACAGTAACATGTGTAGAGCAGTGGAGATGTGCAATATTGTGCACTTTCTCTGTGAATGTAAGCACATCGGCACAGTACACAGAACTGCACAGTACAATGCAATAAACCCCGCTGCAAACTTTTCCAACATATATGTGACAGAAATACAGCGAGTCACAATAACAAAGCGTACACCATTAAGGGGTCATACTCATGCACATCTGCTAACGTGGTGTACATGATAGTGTTGAGCATGTGACAAAGGCTGTTACATTGGGGGAACTGGCCTTAAGCTGCATCTCAGGATGAACCTACACAGGAGCTCGATCAAGAACCACAAAGAGAATGAATATTGCACCCCAGTAGGACATCACTACAGAAGGATCACTCCATCCACAATCTCAAAATTCAAGTACTGAAAGGGAATTTTAAAAACTCTCATGAAAGGAAAACATTTGAGATGAAAATGGTTCTACATTTCAATGCCATAAAGGAGGGACTTAATGTGGATTCTGGTTTTCGGACACACTACCAGAACTTTTTATGAATCTACGGAACATCACAATATTCATATATGTTGTATATATCTGATCTGTTTAGGGTTTATTTGTTCTGTCTTTTGATTATCAGGTGGCATTTTTTACTCCGAGGTCCAACATTTATGACCCCCCTAACAGCTTTCTCTTGCTTTAACTGACAAACTGTCATGTTGATTAGTATTGCTGAAGAAGAGAGGTTCACTCTCGAAAGCTTGTCTTTTATATATTTTGTTAGTCCAATAAGAAAGGTATCATTGCACACTGCAATACTGCGTTTTTGTTTTACACTTAACAGGGGGTATTGCAAGTGGGCTGCCTAGCTTCCTACAAAAAAACTGTGCGCTAAAAGGTGTCGTCCTTCCCATCTCAAACAATGGGAGGCATAGGAATGTGTCCAGATATGGGAGGTCTACCTTATAAGGAAACTGGCTCTCAGCCAAATGTTTCTCCTTGGTTTCGAATGTTAAATCCTCAGGCAATCTTATTTTAGCTGTCCTCGTCTAAAAGATCTCCTCACTTCACGTCTTTTTTTTTTACAGGTTTTCATAACAGAAAGTAAAGAAGATCTGCTTAAGGAGAATGCAGACATCAAGTACCCCACAATAAATCATACTCACCTGTCCTGGCACCCATTCCTGGAAATCTTTGCTCTGTTTGAGAGCTATGGTCACCTGAAGAATCTTCACTTTAGGCACTTCCAGCAATGTCGAATGCCTGCATTCCCCAAAATGCACTTTGTTCCCTCCACCAGCCCCTTCATCATTACTGCATCCTGTGACATAGAGGGACCGGCAACTAATATATCTAGAAGTGTGAGGGATGTGCAGATTCTTCAGATGGCTCATGCTCTCCAAAACAGCAAAGATTCTGCAACGGGCAGTAGAACAAATGAGTA